AAGTCTAATAACTTCTGTCATTATATGTGACCAATAATACTTATCAATCATGACCCAAGTCTTACCGTCCTTGCTCAGGAAATCATAGGGTATGTCTGTACAGGAGCATTATTTTGGAATAATGACATCATTTTGAAAGAACATAGTATGTGTCTACACAGCAAGCTATTATTTTGAAATAATGTCAAGCTGGAGGACTTCTTACTCTGACTCCTGTAACCCTCATTTCACAAGGAGTAAGGGAAGTCATAGGAAGAGTGTTTGTCTTTCAATTTCCTGCTGTGTAGACAGCGCCAAAAGCCGAATTAAGCTATTTCAACTTCAGCTACGCAGTTGATGTGGCTGAAGTTGCTTAACTTAATTTGACTTTTGCCCTGCAGTGTAGACAAGCCCATAGCACAGTGTTTCCCATTGGTGCTCTGCAGAATCTTGGGGTTCCGCAAAGCAAAAGTAAGGGTTCCGCGAGAATGCAGCATTCCTCCTGCCCCTTCTTAAAGAGACAGAGTCTATTTTGGGGTGGGGTTTTTTTTGACAAATTTTACCATGGCAACTCTAGAGGTTCCTTGAAATTCTTTTAAGCTGAAAAGGGCTCCTGTGGTCAAATAAAATTGGGCAAAACTGCCATAGCAAGTAAAGACTCTACAGCTTGATCCATTGGATAGGTATCCAATTCTTCTTTCAAAAGAATGCAAGAAAGAAGAAAGGGTTCAATGTTTCTTCCACACACACCTCTTCTTTTCCATTGACTCTAAAAATCTTATCTATTTTATTCTCTAAAGCTTACTTTAATTTATTTTTTTTAATTATGCAAGTGGTTTCATCTTGGAAGAACTGAGGGTAGGCTCTTTTTACTCTGATTATATCAATGGCAGGCTGAATGCATCAAAATCTCCAGTTACAGATCAAGTGATGTACAAGAAACACTTGGTAATTACACAAGTCATGGCTTTAGCTCTATTTTGGGGTGGACTCCAACCATTATAATAAGTTAATTTATATTTTTCTGCTCTATTTTAGCTTTGCATTTGATTTCATGAGCACTATCATTACTCTACACATACTATTGGAAATAGCCTCTTCACTGGAACAAATCTTGCTCTCCTTACTCTCATTCACTTGAAAGGGATTTCTGCATGAATAAAAGGAGCAAAGTTAAGATTCCTATCATCAATGACTTATTTGCCACAAATCTGAGAGTGAAGTTGTGGAATGTGTTAAATCCTGAAGTGGTATAGATAATAGTTAATGGCATCAACTTCAGTAGGTACACAAATGTGATTCTAGATAAAAGAGTATTCTTTTTTTTCTACAACAGTGGTTGGATTCATGGTGGGGGAGTCAGGAAAAACTTCTGTTGTTCTGTATTTGTTTTTTGCTTAAGCAAAGAGTGCAAAATCCAGCCCATATTTACTTCAGTCTCTACCTACTTGGTACCTGAAGAAATCCAGAGATTGTGGCTGCTTGTTTTAATTTATGCTGGAAAATATGATTTATTCACTCATTACGAATTTTCAGAGTGGATCTAAATATTGCCATCACTGTAACCCAAATTTTAGTAAAAATGTCATCTATGTTCAGTTGCTCCCTTAGGAAAAGAGTCCTCTTCCATGTTCCAAGCTGAAGTAATCACTAAGCCCTTCAAATAATACAACTTCAGATAATAGTTTCATGCATTATTTATTACTGTAATTATAGCACAGTCTATATGCTACTCCAATTTGAGGATAGTTTTTCCTGTTAAATGGCCTAGTAATGCAGCCAGTTTTACACTGCAGTTTTAAAAACTGGAAGTACTAATACTTTGTAATTCTTTATGCTTTGGGTTTTTTGTTGGTTTGTTTTCTTTACACTGGGGCTTTCAAAACTTCCTCCAGTTTCCATGAAGTTATTTTTATTTTCTCTGTAGATCTATTTGCCTTACACACACACAAACACACACACAGAGCACCTACTTTACAGAAGGTGATTGTGAAAAAAGGATGGATTTGGACAGGGGGATCAGAGCTTTGGAAATGTTCTCCCCTTTTCTGTGAGCATCTGCTTGGAGAAGAACAGATGTGGGCACCTGTGGTGACAGGCTGCATATGTTCCATCCTATTCACAGGCATTCAGACGTGGCCACAATGGTAAGTCTTTGTGTATGCAGAGTCACTAAATATATTAATCTGTACTCCCTAGAGCACTGTTCTGTTTAATTTTTCACTGGCAATAGCATCTGATCTAATCCTGAAATCGGTTCCCCCAAGTCCCTTGTTACCCCTGGAAAATATGTGAAGTTATTTAAGCTTCCACCTGTTGCCTATGGGTTGGAGTAGGTTATGTGAGCATCTTGTGGGTTGAGAGAGGAGAGCGTCAGTGTTAGTATGCTGTTTGCACATACAAAGAGGGCCACAGCATTTTTATAATGGTGATATAATGTGCCACTGCAAGAATAATCTGATAGAAACAAATGATATGTGGAATGTGTATGTACAATGTATGCAAGCACTAAACAACTATTAAATAAAACCAACCCCCCCCCCAACCATTTTTAATCAGTGCCTTTAAAAATGGCATGTGAAGTTCCCATGTATCGCTTTGTTTATTAAACTCTAGTGGTTATTATAAACATCGGTCAATAGGCCATGCAGCCAAAAGGTAACATAAATCTCAGATCCAAGACTTCGATTTTTTGAACAATTTTGTTGCATGACTCTTTTATCCTATCATCTCTTATTCTATTTTGATTTGTTTGCGACCACAATGAGTCCTTTAGTTCCATTGTTGCCAGCACAATATACATGGACATCAGGCTGTGAATGAAGACAGAAGCAGTTTAAACAAACCAGGCTCTTTCTTTCCTCTCTGCCTATTGTAATATGAATGAACCTTCTGCATTCTGCTGCTAGGAAACGCTTCTTTTAAAGCCCAGGTCCAATAAATGGACATAGAGAAAGTGACCAAATACAAACCTAAAAGTATTAGAAAAGTGGGGAGACATGTGTAAGCAATTTCTTTTCACATTAGCCAACTGTGGAATCCTAAAATGTCCAAGAAAACAAATCACTCTTTTATAATGTTACTCCCCCCCCCCCCCCCATGTGCAGAGTACAGCCAGCAAACAGGATCACTAGTAAGAACTGCTTTGAAACACAGCGCTGCCTTTCAAAAGAGAGGCGTGCGCACTGAGGTGTCATCACTCGGGGATGACACCAGCAAGGCATATTTTAATGGGGGGGGGGGGAGGCAACAGCAGGACAATAAAAATAAGACAGCTTGACGCTAGCGTTGCCACGGAAGGTGGGGTACCGACCTGGGCACTAGATATGCTGTCAGCAGCGGGGCGCAGTGCACTACACTGGGGATACGGGGAGATGTAATGGGGGGGGGCTAAGAGGCAGGACATTGCCTTGGAATAGCACGTGCCTATGAACTAGCCGGGCGCTCTGCTCCGAACGGCTCCAGGTGCACTGATGCGCTACGGGCACAAACAGTGATGTCACGTGGGATTGACGCAGGACGAGGAGGAGGCGGTGCCTCGTAGTTTACAGTGCGCATGCCTGGCTGTTTCTCCTGGCCCCTCCCCCGGCCGCAAACGCAAAGCACTGAGGTCCCGCGCGGCTCTGGGCAGGCGGGGGGGCCGAGCACCTGGTGAGAGGGTCACGTGCTTCCCCCGCAGAACTTTCTTCTGTCAATCAGCGACATCGGCGCGCAGCGGGGCGCGTAGTCCCGCCTTCCTTCTCCCCTCCCTCCCAGTGGCCGGAAGCGGAAGCTCGAGTTACGGCGCGCGGCGGGGGTGCCGGTGTTGCTAGGTAGGGCCCTGGCTGCTGCTGGGTTGGCGCCGGGCGCAGCAGGTGTCGCCCCCGTTCTGCACGGGCTGCGAGTCCCTCTTGCCGCCCAGGGAGCAGGCACCCAACCGTTGGCGGGGGGAGGGGTGGTCTCTCCTCTCGGCGAGCCAGAAACTCCTCCCCTTTCCCCCCCCCCCACACCCTTGTGGCCTGGGCGGCGCCGTAACTAGGTATTTTTTGCGCTGGGGCCAAATGTTAAAGATGCGCCCCCTCTCCTTAAGTTAGCACGCGTCCCGCTCTTCTCTTGTGCAGCTTTTTACCTCCTGTGTCTTTCGCCCCTGACTATGGTGCGAGCGCCCCGCTTGCCCTGCCCTTGTTACGGCCCTGGGCCTGTGCCCCAGCCGCCCCTCGCCGCAGGGAGGGCAGGCAGCCTTTCCGCTGCCGCATCGTTACCCGCCTGCAGGGAGCGGCCCAGGAGAGGGAGGGGACAGAGAAACGCTCCCTGCGTATGTCCCCTGGCAGCTGTGCCAGGAAGAGGGCTTCACGGGGCCGTGCGACAGAGATGCGTTTCTGCACGTAGGCGCTCTCATTTCAGGGGTTCATTGTCGTTTGGCTTTAGCTGGAACAAGACTGTCTACATGTCATACAGAATAGTGATAGAAATGTAGCCGTGTTAGTCTGGGGTAGTTGAAGCAAAATGCAGGACAATGTAGCACTTTAAAGACTAAGAAGATGGTTTATTAGATGATGAGCTTTCGTGGGCCAGACCCACTTCCTCAGCTTTAACCAGAAAGGACACTCTCTAAATGACTTAGCCACCTGCATTCTGCTACAAAGACCTTTTACATCTGCACTTGAAAGGGAATCCTCTGAACTGTCATTCATGTTAAAATTCGACACTTACCACCAGGGACTTAACAAGTCTTTGAACTTTCTCACCCATTATCAAGACAGTTTCCCCAATTATCACCTGTAATACCATTAACTCACAAACATCCCACTCTCCCTACCTTTAATATCAGCAATTCACAGACACTTACCTTCCTTCCTCCCCCTTCCCACCCCCCCGCCTCCTCCTTCTGTTCTGCAATGTGATTTGTCCTTTTCATATTTGTTCTTTTTTTTAATTGTATCCTTTGGTATATATGGTTGTGACTACTTTCTTCCACTATTTGATCTGAGGAAGTGGGTCTGGCCCACGAAAGCTCATCATCTAATAAACCATCTTGTTAGTCTTTAAAGTGCTACATTGTCCTGCATTTTGCTTCTACATGTCATACAGACTTACCTGGCTCAGCTAAACTGGTATAAACCCCATACTTTTAGTGATGTCAGTGCCAGGATGAGCACTGTTGAGACCACTGAGTTTATGGAACAAAAAGAAACACTTGGGGCCTGATTTTATGTTACAGCACCCTATGGCCATGATTTATATCTAACTTTTGCTAGGATAAATGACCACACAAAGTGCAGGACAGTGTAGATTCTGGCTGTCTGTTCCCTCAGGCTTGGTGTGCACTTGACATTTAGATATGCCTAGGTATGTTATTCTTGGGGTAGGAAAGATTCATGCCCTTGAGTGCTGTAGCTATCCAAACTGTTGATGAAAGAATGCTGCTTCTATCAGTTTAGCTGCTGTCACTCAGAGCCATGTCTACGGGAGTGGTTCTTAACTTTTCCAAATGACTTTACCCCTTTCAGGAGTCTGATTTGTCCTGCATACTCTAAGCTTCACCTCATTTGAAAACTTGAGCTTTGGCTTCAGCCCTGGGCAGCAGGACTTGAGATTTGGCTTTCTGTCTTGGGCTCCAGTGAGGCTAATGCTGGCATTGGCAACCCCTTTAAAATGAACTTGCCTATGCTATTGTTGTGAGAACTGCTGATATACTATATACAATATTATAAATAAATCATTTTCTGCATGAAATTTTAGTTGACCTGAGTTTTCTAGTGGTTTTTATGTAGCCTGTTGTAAAACTAGACAAATATCTAGATGAGATGTTGTACCCCCAGAAGTTGAAAACTACTGGCCTATAGTAGTCGGAAAGCCTCTTTACTATAAGAAGAGTCTATATTATGGCTACTATGGTAGCTAAGTCATTCTGTGTGCCTTGGATGAAGTCTGTCGGGGGCTTGAAATATTTATTGTAAATATTTTTGCCACCTAGCAGCATAGTGTCTAGTTGTTGAATGGCAGGCTTTCTCAGCTACTGATAGATTCATAGCTAAAGTGAAGTCTAACAAAATTTGCATAATAGGATGGCTCTTTGTTGCTGATATACAGGTAGGCTGCATCTGACCACTGTTTTGCCACCATGTCAAAATAAGGGGGTGAACCATGTATACTTGTATCTATATACCAAATTTGTAGCAAACAATAGTTCTGATTATGTATTTCCATAGAGAATACACCATGCAGGTATACGCACTAGAGACTTTAGTAATCAGGCCACCATGGTAAGTTGAAAATTTGTTAGCAGTTATTTTGTTAGTTACGTGAGGGAATAATGATACAAAATAAAGCTAAATGTTTATTTTATTAGGTGTAAACCAATAATATCTGTGTATATTTAAGCATGAAAGGGTTGTTGGAAATTTTGCCAGAATTTTAAAACAAAGCATTTTCAGTGCTGATTCTGCTATCCTTATTCAGGTTAAGTGGTCTGGAAATCAGCCAGTCTGGAATAAATGTAAAATTTGGGATCTGTTTTCTTTTTCTTTTTCTTTTTTTTAAGCTAGCAAGTATTGGGAATAGAATATGGAAGCCTTAATCTCTTAGTTGTGAATTCCAGTTAGCTTAAGTCCTTAATGATCAAAAATGATTTAAAAATAAGAGCTAGCTGACCAGCATAAAGTAACTTAGTGGTCTCAGCCCACGTCCCACAATCCATAGGGGAAAAAAGTCATATTTGGTACTCAGTTTTTGTCTGCATTGAAAAATATTATATTTAAACGTGATTGAGTTGGATTTTAACTATAATTTAGTTTTTAGCCCAGGACAAAATGTATTGCGTATCCTGTTGTTTGATGTAAAGCGGAACAAGATTTTATTCTGGTCTATACTGGTGACTAAGTCATGGTCATAATAAGGTAATCTTGTTTTATTGTTCACAGTCGTGTTCTAACATGATCATATTTTGTTATGTAGATCAGTAGTTCTCAACCAGGGATCTGAGAGGCTACAGAACTGAATCCTGGAGTCTAGTGCCCTGTTGTACTCTCCCCCTCCACCTACTGAGTCTGAAGCCTGGAGCCATGGGACTGAAACCCAGAGTCCCAAGCCTAGAATTTCCACTCCCCTCCCTGCCATCTGGGGCTGAAAGCTGGGAGCTCTGAGCCTCACTCACCGCACAGGGCTGATGCTTAGAACTGCAGTGCTGAAACCCAGAGGCAGAAGCTCTGAATCCCCATCCAATGGGGTTAAATCCAGGAGTCTGTCTGAGTCACAAGCTGCAGTGTCCTACAGGGTAGAAGCCCTGAGCCTTTGTGGCTGGAGGCCCCAACCCCCGCATCGTTCAAGCCCCAAGTTTTCCCACACCTGGTGTCTAGAGTCCTGAGGTCATCCCACTCTCTGTGGTTAAAGCCCTGGCCTTACAGAGCTAAAGCTGAAGCGGGGAGACATAAGCTACCTGTTTTGGTGACTGAAGCCCAGAAGGGCCCTCCACTGAGCCCTGGAGTTTTAGCATGTTGTGTGCGTAAGGGGGACTCAGGAAAAAAAGAAAGGTTGAGATTCTCTGATGCAGACAATCCCAA